GAGGTGGGGAAGAGGGGAGGTGGGGGGGGGGGGGGGGGGCGGCGGTAGGAGGAGAGTGGGTGGGAACAGGGAGCGGCACGGAAATTCATGAAATCTTTGCATAATTTAGCACGACGCTTGTACAGTAGATTTTTTTTATATACCACAATTAACATGTTGAGTTTATAAGCATCAGCTCTCGATTACACCATTTCATCGCATAATTCAGAATAACATCTCACCTCTTATACTCCGATTTTCTTACACAAATTGTGAAATTACCGTGTACCACAAGAATATAGAATAGTTGTTTATAGATATTTAATCAAGGACACCTTGTCTTAGATTAATTACCTGTTAATGTCTATATTGATACAAAGGAGAATATTTATATCTAAACCTGCACCAAACATGATTCCCAACACAGCAGGATACATATCTAATATATCAAGGTTACGAGACTATCGTTTGATGCTGTCGCTGTATGGAACTTACTGTACCTGTGTGTTATACCTCAACCAGTATTTGCAGTTGGTGATTCTAAATACAGTTCTTGTTGCTGACCGACTGACTGACTGCTCGCTGGTAGCTTGTAAGAACAGGTGGTAATGAAGGATCTCCTTGGCCCAAAGATGCAGGTCTTCGAGTACGTGACACAGCATATATGTTTATGCGGCGAATTTTACACGTTTGCTTCCATGCAGATCCCGTCGTAAATACTAGGGTGATCAATGGCGTTTACTTCTTTGTGTGTGTGTGTGTATTGGGGTTGTCATGCACCAGGATGTGGGCTTCGTCACGCATTGTTGAGTGTCCTATCCGAGGTCATTTGAGCTCCTGACTGACTCACGACCCAAAGACGATCCTTCAGATAATATCCTTTAACACAAAGGACTTAAAAAATATTGTTCAGGACCTTCAGGGCTCCGTACACATGAAACTTATCATAAAGTATAAATTTATCAGCCATTAACAGTGTACTACTGGACGAAGCTATCCTTGGTGTTGGTGTGGGGTGATCTGTGTAACTCCTCCAGAAAGCAAACTGTTGGTGCAGAAAGCTACCGCCTGGTGGTTTACTAAGCCGGAGTTGCTTACTGATCACGGGACCATCACATATGTGTGTGTGTGTGTGTGTGTGTGTGTGTGTGTGTGTTAAGGAAGGTTGGAAGAGGAATCTACAAGGGGAGAGAGAGAGAGAGAGAGACAGACAGAATATTCAAAACACAAATGGTGGAAGACCTCGAGTTCATCTGCTTGATTGTAAAACAGCGCCACAGCAGGCACATGTGCTAATATGTATGTGGACGAAACGCAGGCGAACGTTCGTCCATTGCGAGTTAGAAAGGAACGCCGAGCGATAGTGATTGGTTGCACTGGCAATGTATTTTTTCCGACTCAGGTTGTTAGGGTGCAGCGCGGCCACCACACATAATTACACTCGTAATTTATCACATTCTCACAAACGTCTCTCGTAACCTTGACTGGTCGCAATATTTACAGCCTCCCTAAAATCACCTTAGCTCTCGCTGAATCTCTGTCTCTCTTATTTATTCGCGACGACAACATGTCTTTGAATTCTCCCTGTCTCATCTGTTGGGACATTAATGATCTCTCAGTGTCTCGTCACCACGATTACCTTCTTCCTACAGCCTCAAAAATCTCTCCTTCGCGGTCACTCTCCAGTTTGCGATAACTAAATTAAATTTTTCTGAAAACCGAAACTTAATGCCACATTTTTCTGAAGTCGTTCTTAAGTTAGATCAGCGTCACGGATGTTGTTAGTGTTATAATGTATTACTTCAAATTAGCAACTAAGATTATTTAGTGCGTGTTCTAGGTTAGTACATTCACTAATCATCAACAACAAAGAGAATAACAAGCACTGAGTGACACTCGTATAATCGATGATTCTGTGTCTATCAATATCCAAGAATGTTCTATCGACACATTTTATTTCATTCTCCATCAATAATGAATTAATTCCTAAAAATAATCAACAAAATGGGAAAGAATAAACACGTGTTCTTGAAGTAAACAACCAGTCACGCCAGGAAGAAGGGAAGGAGGAGCTTCAAGCGGCAATATTTATCATATCAAGAGTTTGAGGATCGTCCGGTCTTTCCCGCTGACCAATTATCTTTTATTTGTCCTGTAAGTCAGGGAATGTTGCCTAGTGTCAGTTCCTCTTAGTCAGACGGTCGTCACTGTACTCGCTTGAAGATGGGATGGAAGTCACACCAAAACAACAGTCTATAGGGGAGATATTAAGCTCGAGGGCAAGACCAGTTGTCTAGTAGTACAGTATTACCAAGCGTACTGTACCTTTTAGTTTATTGTATCCAATATTACAGCGCCAAAAACTGTCTCTTTCGCTAAACTGCCTTCGCTCTCTCCTCACTAAAAATGCCTTTAGTGACAATACCACTCTATTAGTTAAAATGTAGTCTTCGCAATAGTGCCTCACTCCCCAACATAATTACTTCACCAATAAACATTACCCCCCCCCCCCTTAAAATGTACACGAATAATGATTTGGGGATAGTCTTTGGGTTTTCCACATAACAGGTGCGTGCTGGTAGTGGTTTACCTGAGATAGCGAGGGAGAGATGTTTGGCAGCTTCCTCACGCCAACCACCACAATTGTACCTCACATAAGTTTTTTTTTTTTTGCAGTGCGAGTTATAGTGTTTAGTATCTTAGATATGTGCGTGACTGTCATTGTTTTGTTTTTTTTCGGCGTTACGATTGTTTGGTCAGAAGTGTTTTGATGTCGTAGCTTGTTTTGTTATTGATGGGTTGGTTTCCTTTGTTTTTTTTAATTCTCTTGATTTACTTGTAGTGTCTTGTGATGTTATTGCAGGGTCAGTTGATTCGCAGCTTCCTGTTACGCTGTCCTTGAACATAGTAACATTAGCGCACATATGAATGCAGGGACTTACACACACACACACACACAGATAGATACACACAGTCACTACATAGTCACTGATACATAAAGCATACACATGCAGGTATTCGTACATATGTGTATACATAAAATACTAAACTCATATTTTCACATACACACTCGCAATCATACAGACATAAAAACCACAAATATACGTATACAAAACACAATTCGTCACGTGCACACAGATGGGCACATTAGGACACATACGCACATAAACACACACCGTACAGTATCATGACAGCGACTTCCGACCACCAGAAGGTAGATCAGAAATTGATGTGGATCTTCGACACATCCATCAATACAAGCGTCAGAACTTACCAGTGTAATTCAGATTCATCCGATTCTTATTTAAGTTTTACAAGGATCAATAGACATTACCTTGACCTCACTAACTCTCGTCTATTCCCTAAAACATCAATAACCACAATTCTGATGCCTTAACTCTTCGCTCTCTCCTGTGCCAACACTAAGCATAACTTCACCCCGAAAACACTTTCTTATATCACGAAAGCAACAATAAACAAAAGCTTTAGCCTCTTTCACAAGGATCATTAAGCACAAAGCTTCATAATCTGTCCTTGACAAAGTTTCAATACACACAAGGTTCAACCCTCAGACACCATCCTGTGTTCTACAAGCATCAATACGCACAAGCTTCAACACCTATACCTCTTACCTGTTTCTTACAACAACAAATAAACAGAAGCTCAATTCAAATAGATCTAATAAAAATTATACCTTAAGAAGTTATGAATAATGATAAGGATGAAGGTCAAAAAGACACTTTGGAAACATCTCTACCGTTTCCACAACACATATATTTCCCAGTTAATGAAAAGTGATTCCTGCGGTTCTCTTGCGCTGTTGAGTAAATGTGTTCAATTTATTCACACGTCACAGTACCACTTTCCACCTGATGAACCTGGCCGTATTTATCGGTCTTTTTCTTTTGTTTATTAAGTGGTTAATGGAGGACTTTACTGGGGACGACTGTTCAGTGAAAAAGTTTATTCTACCTGAGATTTTGGATGACTGTCTAGCAATATATTCAGGGTTTGTTCTTTTTTATTTATTAAGTGCTGAGGATAACTACTTCTGTGAGTTATTTTTAAGTTGTTATTTTCTATGAAGCGATGAAACAGTAATAATTATTTGATGTTTTGTTAATTGTAACACTCTTATGTAAGGAACCGGAATATACTTCTGGCTTTTACGTGATCTATAAACTGGTTGAGGAAGCCACTAGTAGGTGACGGTCTTAAGGAATCTCTCTCACCATGACTGGATTTATTAACATATTATATATCTACTTGTAAGGAAATGGAACATACCTCTGTGCCTGCTGTGTTCTTACTACTGAGTTGTGACATGTACAGTTTATGAACATGCTCATCTGTCTATCTATCTATCTATCTATCTATGGTCATTAAGAGCAAATTCAAGGTTAATAAATATTCCAGTCATGAAGAAGTAAACATTAAGTCATATTTTCTTGTATTATGTTTATTGACCTCTCTCTCTCTCTCTCTCTCTCTCTCTCTCTCTCTCTCTCTCTCTCTTTCTCTCTCTCTCTCTCTCTCTCTCTCTCTCTCATACGCCATGAAACAAAATATAAGTAAAAAAATGACTTAATTTTTAGTTATTCATGACTGGTATATTTATTAACCTTGAATATGCTCCTAAAAGCCTGAGTACTTGGAGCCAGGTAATGCAGCCCAGTGATGCAACTATTGTAATTTTTTAATCTTTAAAGTCCCTACTTTGTGTATCTACCTGGTGAAGGGTGTTTCAAGATCACCAGCGTCTTGTCTTGACTTACAGGTGTTTTTTGAAAGAAGCTGGAGAAAAAAAATCAACCAATCGCTTGTGGGTAATAAAATATTGTGACCAACTATTTTTCCCTTCTTTCGTGGGCACTCTCAGAGCCCTGGGAGGTATTAAAGGAAGAAATTGTCTTGTTTTATTCCTCAAGAGATAAAATTTTGGAGATAAGAGAAAATTTAGTTTCACCATCGAGGTCTGAGGGGATATCAGCGTCAGGTAACTGGTAGATGATTAGAAATACTTTCTGGATAACAGCTTTATTCATCATTAATTCGAGAACAAATATTCAGGGTAAGTTATCAGGATCCATTAATAGGTATACGGCAGCAGATGCACCTGTAATACAGAACGGTTCGGCCGACTTGCCGTAGTGTGGTTGCGGGCAGACGTCGACACAGTTGTTGCTGTAGGCACATATAACGGGTAACAGAAGTAGCCTTTAATAACGTTCGGCAGTTTTACAGATGTGCTGTTGCAGGCAGGTGTCGAAGCAGCACTTGTCCTGATATGCACAGGTACCGTCGTTGCTGCAAGGTTGAGGGCCACCGAAGGTACGGGTCGGTGGACACGAGGGCCGGACCGGTGGACACCTTCCTGGGTGGGCTGGGCGAGAAAAAGAAACGTGAATCTAATATCCTATGTGTATGTTTTATTGGATCTTCTCTCTTTGGGCTGGAATATAAACATTAACGACGACATCTCACACCTGACTGGAAATTGCATCAATTTCACAAATTAACTCGAGAGAACAACTGTGTATTAAGGTACTTACTTCCAACCCCACCGCCGCCACCTTGGCCGGGTCTCTCACAGCAGTAGAACTGGTTACTTGGCGTCCTACACCAGTATTTGCAATTGCTTCCACCACTATTTCCGCCGTAGCCTCCTCCACCACTGCCAAAGCCTCCTCCACCACTCCCAAAGCCTCCTCCACCACTCCCAAAGCCTCCTCCACCACTGCCGAAGCCTCCACTGCCATGGCCTCCACCGCCGAAGCCTCCACTGCCATGGCTTCCACTGCCGAAGCCTCCACTGCCAGGTCTTCTACCGCCGACTCCAGAGGCACCGGCGGTAACGAAGGCCGACACCAATCTGAAAGAATGAATCACCAGTCAATATTGACAGAGATGAGGAGGAGACCTTCCGCTTCTGTGTAAGCTGAGGGAGGTGTAGTGTGCCCATGTTTAGCGTGCGTCTCATCTGGGCGTTGGCTGCTTCGTGTGTCTGTTTCAGAGTGTACTGTAGATGAAGGTTAAGAGGTCACGCGCCTTCCTATCTACATACAACTTGCGGTTCATTGAATCTAGGTCATACAGGTACCTCGTAACCTCCTAAGATCAACCTTCCTCTCTAGTGGTGTTTAGTGAAGAGTACCAATAAGAAATAAAGCGAAGTCGTAGTAACCTAAGCGTGTGTGTGTATTTGTTGTGAAGTGGACCTCTGAATATCTCATTTTCTCTCCTTTTCTTATCATCCTCCCCCTCTCTCTCCTTTGTCTTCTTCCTTTCCTCTCTGTATATTATCATTTCCCTATATATCTCTCTTACTACCTCACCTCACTTTCTTCCTTTATCTCTCTCTCTCTCTACTACGACAGTAACTCACCCTCCTAGTCCTCCACGAGTGTTACTCTTTCTGGTTGCCCTGTCACTGACCACCACGCCCGCCACCATCAGGAGGCCGAGCGCCAAGCCCACACCAGCGCGCACTGTAAGGGAAAAACATACAGGGATTAAGTTGTGACCTCAGCAAGATGGGTTAAGTTGGGTAAGGGTGTGTGGATGTAGAGAAAGGGGGAGTTGGTTAAGGGTGTGTGGATGTAGAGAAAGGGGGAGTTGGTTAAGGGTGTGTGGATGTAGAGAAAGGGGGAGTTGGTTAAGGCTGTGTGGATGTAGAGAAAGGGGGAGTTGGTTAAGGGTGTGTGGATGTAGAGAAAGGGGGAGTTGGTTAAGTGGATGTATTAGGGATGTAGAAAGGGGAGTTGGTTAGGGTGTGTGGATGTAGAGAAAGGGGGAGTTGGTTAGGGTGTGTGGATGTAGAGAGTTGGTTAAGGGGTGTGTGGATGTAGAGGGGTTGGTTAAGGCTGTGTGGATGTAGAAGGGGAGTTGGTTAGGGTGTGTGGATGTAGAGAAGGGGTTGGTTAGGGTGTGTGGATGTAGGGGAAGGGGGAGTTGGTTAAGGGTGTGTGGATGTAGAAGAGTTGGTTAGGGTGTGTGGATGTAGAGAGGGGAGTTGGTTGGGGTGTGTGGATGTAGAGGGGGGAGTTGGTTGGGGGGTGTGTGGATGTAGAGAAGGGGGAGTTGGTTAAGGGTGTGTGGATGTAGAGAAGGGGGTTTGGTTAAGGGTGTGTGGATGTAGAGAAGGGGGAGTTGGTTAAGGGTGTGTGGATGTAGAGAAGGGGGGAGTTGGTTAAGGGTGTGTGGATGTAGGGAACAGAGGGGGATGATGAGTAAGGATGTGTGGATGTAGAGAAGGGGGGTGAGGGGTAAGGATGGATGGGGGATGTTAAGGAAAGGGGGTGAGGATGGGAGGCAAATAGGGGTGAATTTATAAGTAAAATAGGCAAGAAAGAGAAAAGGATGGAATAGAAGAAACGGGAATATGGGTAATTGGATAACGTGAAAGAGAATTCGAGAGAGAGAAAGTAAGAGAAAGTACTCAAGCAAAAACAAAAAAAATATGCTGTAAAGGGAAGACAAAACAACTCTGAAACAGGGAGACAAGCATTATCAAACAGGAAGAACAAGTACAGTAATAGTCACAAGCAGACATCTGGACTTCGGCGTCGTCTCCCACCAGCCCCACACCTCTCATTAACAGTGGTGACGCAGGTGAATGCTCAAGCCATCGGCCCTGTCTTGTTTGTTGTTTGTACTGTATACATGAGTGCATTTTTATGTATGTACGTATGTATGTATGTATGTATGTATGTGTGTATGTATGTATGTATGTATGTACTGTATGTATGTATGTATGTATGTACTGTATGTATGTATGTATGTATGTATGTATGTACTGTATGTATGTATGTATGTATGTATGTATGTATGTATGTACTGTATGTATGTATGTATGTATGTATGTATGTACTGTATGTATGTATGTATGTATGTATGTATGTATGTACTGTATGTATGTATGTATGTATGTATGTATGTACTGTATGTATGTATGTATGTATGTATGTATGTATGTGTATGTATGTATGTATGTATGTACTTTCAGCTAATGTATGTATGTATGTATGTATGTATGTATGTATGTACATGTACTGTATGTATATGTATGTATGTATGTATGTACTGTATGTATGTATGTATGTATGTATGTACTGTATGTATGTACTGTATGTATGTATATGTGTATGTATGTATGTATGTATATATATGTATGTATACTGTATGTTATGTATATACTGTATACTTATGTATGTATGTATGTATGTACTGTATGTATGTATGTATGTATACTGTATGTATATATATGTGTATGTATGTATGTATGTACTGTTGTATGTATGTACTGTATGTGCACAGCAATGTATGTATGTGTGTGTGTATGTATGTATGTATGTACTGTATGTATGTATGTATGTATGTATGTATGTACTGTATGTATGCTATAATATGTATGTATGCCCATGTACTGTATGTATGTATGTATGTACTGTATGTATGTATGTATGTATGTATGTATGTATGTATATATGTACAGTATGTATGTATGTATGTATGTATGTATGTATGTACTGTATGTATGTATGTATGTATGTATGTATGTATGTATGTACTGTATGTATGTATGTATGTATGTATGTATGTATGTATGTATGTATATATGTACTGTATGTATGTATGTATGTACCTGTATGTATGTATGTATGTATGTATGTATGTGTATGTACTGTATGTATGTATGTATGTATGTATGTATGTACTGTATGTATGTATGTATGTATGTATGTATGTATGTATGTATGTACTGTATGTATGTATGTATGTATGTATGTACTGTATGTATGTATGTATGTATGTATGTACTGTATGTATGTATGTATGTATGTACTGTATGTATGTATGTATGTATGTATGTATGTGTGTATATACATGTCGTGTATATACTGTACAGAACATCTCCCACACTTGAAGGTCACCTCAGACTGTCTGGCAGCGTTGAGGTGCTCTCATGGCCACCCATCGCTACCACTCTCTAGCTCTTACATATGTGGATGTAACTGTAGTAGTGTCGGTACCTGTGCATTTATACCTGTGGCTATACTTCCACTTGTATCTTTGCTCATACATATAATTGTACCTGTAATTGCATCTGTATTTGTACCCGAATCAGTTTGTATGCTATTTCTTGAACCAATAATTATATCTGTAACTATTTATGTGTCAAATATCTACCTTAAGTTGTGCCGGCTCTTGTACTTGCACCTCTACCTACACTTGTCCCTATATCTGGTCACATGTGCACCAGTACTTGTACCTATACCCGTTCCTTGTACCTGTATCTCTGCCAGTACCTGCACCACTAACTCTTCTTGTATCTGTATTTGTATGTTTACCTCTGTTTGCACCTATCCAATACCTGTACCACTACCTACGCGTGCACTTGGGCTTTACCCTGTGTTTGAGCCTTTATTTGTAACTCTACCTGTACCTGTTGGTTTACCATTACCTTTGTTTACACCTGTGCCCGTACCTTTACCAGTACCTGTATCACTACCTGTGTTTACACCTGTGCCCGTACCTTTACCAGTACCTGTATCACTACCTGTGTTTACACCTGTGCCCGTACCTTTACCAGTACCTGTATCACTACCTTTGTTTACACCTGTGCCCGTACCTTTACCAGTACCTGTATCACTACCTGTGTTTACACCTGTGCCCGTACCTTTACCAGTACCTGTATCACTACCTGTGTTTACGCCTGTGCCCGTACACTATCAGTACCTTCACCCGCTTACTGCTGATGTTTACTGATGAGTCTTATGATAGCTGTTGACTCCAATCCTTGACGCACACTGCTTATTACTAACAGCGCGTGTATAGTCTGGGTTGGGGGCGGAGGCACAGCCACACACGCTTTCTCCTTTGACGTTGTTCACACAGTAGACACAAAGGTTTACCAAGTTAGATGGAGTCATGTTGCATTTCTTCAAGGCTTTCTTCATCTGGTCCTTGTAGCGTTTCTTTGGGCCACCAGCAAAACGTTGACTTTCATGCAATTGGCTGTAGAGGAACTTTCGTAGCAACCGCTCTTCAGGAATTTGTATGACGTGTTCGAACCAACGAAATTGGTGTTGGATAACAGTTGCTTCTATGCTGTTACATCCTGTTCTCCTAAGAATCTCTATGTGTGGCACACGGTCACACCAGGTCCACTACCTGTGTTTACCCCTGTTAATGTATCTCTACCAGTACCACTACCTGTGTTTACGCCTCTACATGTTGTATATCTTCTAAGCAAAGAATCTAACACTGATTTTGAACTTGAAAAATCACTTACTTTTCCCAGTAGGTGTTGTGTGTGTTGTGGGAGTGTATACGAGGTCCTCCTTCTGCAGGTGACTACCCTACACTATGTAACATCCCGCCGACCTGCCTGTTATATATACTCACCTCCTCACTTCCCTCTCATTACACCCCCCACCTCCCACCGTGGTTTCCCAGTACGTGAGCTGCAGATGACTACAGGCACATCCTCCGTCTCCCAACTGACCGCAAAACCCCCACCCCCCCTCTCACAACTCCTCCTCCAGAGTCCCTCCCGCCCTATTTTCTTAGCATTGCAGTCACAACCACCTCCCGCTCCCCCTTACCCACGTGACCTTAAACTACTCCTTCACTTCATTTGCCTTTGCTTCTTACCATCCAAGTTCCCTGAAAATCCTCCCTTTGATTTAGTTTCCTCGTCACTTCAACACCCTTCTTTCACCCCCTCCCCTTCATCCTCCCCGCCATCTGCTAGAAACTAACCCAGGAATATTTCGGGGATTCCCTGAGAGACTGAGTCGCATTCATAGTTGCAGCATAGTTCATAGTTGCACCTCTGTCAGAACGTCATAGGAACGCCGACGGTGACGGGAGTCCAGCAACCTGTGCAATGGGGAGTCTTTTGTCTATGTGGATCTTTACAATAAACCTTACGAAAACCCTCTTCTCAACTAGTGTACAAGATATGGCGTGGTTATGTATATAATCAATGTATCCCAAAAGCTAATGAACCAACTACAACGAAACAATATGAAAACCCTTAGTAACTATTGGAACAATTTCACGAAACTTTTCGCAGACTCACACTCCAATGCTCATTACATTGCTTGAGGCTCGACCACGATATAAACTGTGGTGTATGTATGTACAGTACGTATGTAGGTGATTAAAACAGTTTTAAACGAATTTATTAAATAGCTTTACAAAATACATTCAATACAAAAGGTCATCACATCACACCTGTAACTCGACTGGCCTACTGGCAGGGTCAACAACGTATTATTACTAGGCTACAGGGCAGCGTCGGGGGAGGAGGAGGAGGAGGAGGAAGATGCCTCAGCAGTTTCTGGGAGGTATTAGGTGGTAGCTGTGGCTGTGGCGACCATCACACCCACCTTCCTCTAAGAGTTTTTTTTTTTTTTAGGTTAAGGTGGGGAAAGGATGGAAGGCATGCTGGGGCTCAAGGCACAGCCAGACATGAGGGATGGAGAAGTCACAACATATAGTCGTGGGGGGAAAGGTTGGAAAAGAAGTTTAATGAGTTAAACAGAGGGGGACGACACCCCTTGTTTTACATATTACAGAGTTTGTTGGCTAACTAAGCTAACCTAGGATTTAGAATGAGGTTGCACAATGGTTATTTTAGTAGACAATGACTAGATTGATTTTACAATTACAAGTTTATTAACATCTTATACTGTATTACGTTATGGACTCACTCGATTTTGACTTGTTAAATGTGAATTTATATCATCTAAGTTTTAATCTAAGGTGGATCACTGTGGCGGACATAGATGGATCGCGGGTTGGGTTGTTGTAGTGTGGGCAGACTCCGGGGCCACCAGGCGTGGGGTCTCCCTCCGTTGATGTCTTCCCCGCGTAGGTGGTCTGGGCTGTGAGGGTCGTCCAGGAGCTTGTCCCAAACCTTCTTCCCTAGGCGATGGAACCTGAAGTTGAGGGCCTCTGTTTTATTTCTTAGGTGGATGGTTTCCACTGTCTCCTGGTAGGGTGGCGCTTGGCCACTGGCTGACCTCAAACATTTGTTTTGGAAGCTCTGTAGTTGTTGTAGTCTAGTCTTCCCGAGTGTGACGAGTGGTATAGATGGGTACTCCAACACAGGCCTCACCAGCGCCTTGTACAGGTGAACTTGTATCTTCTCAGGCATCAATTTAAAACGTTTTAATTTGGCTGCGGCGACTTTGGCTTTATTTAGTCTGTCCTTCACGTGGGGAATGATGCCCGTCCGAGAAATGATGAGGCCGAGCAACCTGCCTTGTTTAGAGTACTCAATCTCTTCGTCGTCGATCATCAATGGGGCCGGCTTGAATTTGGCTATGGGTATGACCTCAAATTTCGTTTTGTTTGTTTTTATTTTCCATTTATTTTCATACTCCGAGATCTCCTCTATTGCCCGAGCAGTGAGTCGCGCCATCCTTGCCGTGGACCTTCCTGGGCAGGTGACGATCTGTGTTACATCGTCTGCATACATGACGTACTCGCTGCCGACGATTGGGGGTGGCAGGTCAGCCGTGTAGAGTGTGTAAAGGGTTGGTGAGAGACAAGAGCCCTGAGGCACGCCGCTCGATAGTGAGAATTCTTCTCCAAAATGTTCTTGCATCTTAATTTTGGCTCTGCGGTCCGTAATGAAGTTGCACAGCAGGCGAGTCAGATTTTCGGGTAGCCCCAGTTGTATGATCTTATACTGCAGTCCTGCGTGCCAAACTTTGTCAAACGCCTTGCTGACGTCCCTCAGTACTATATTGCACTGTAGGCGGCCAGTCATGGCATTGGCGATCTGCTCGTAGGCCTGAGCTATGGCGGTGGATGTGCCTCGGTACTGGCGGAAGCCGAACTGGCGGGGATTATGCACGTCTTCGTCCTCCAGATACATCCGCAATCGCTTGTTGACTATTTTTTCGAAGATTTTGGCAGGTACCTCTAGCAGCGATATTGGTCGAAAGTTTTCGACTTTGTTTGGAGGCTTCCCTGCTTTTGGTATGAGGCGAATAACGGCGATTTTGAACATCTTAGGGAAGTATCCAGAGGCGAGGCAGGCGTTGCATATATGAGCAAGCCTCTCTATCATGTTGCCGGGGAGTTGAGCCAGGATCTTCTTGTTAATGTGACTTTGACCAGGTGATTTGTTTTTAAACCCTTTTATGACGGCTGACACATCTGCAGGAACAATGCGTTCCGTCAGGTAGCTTCCGTCCCCCAGTCTGGTGAAGTCAGTCCGTGGGAGCGGCTGGAGCAGGTGCTGATGGTCCTGCAACTGACCTAAAATGTCCTCCTCAAAGTCCCTGTCGAAGCCCTCGTTTTCCTGTTCACTAATGGTAAAGATCTTTCGTAAATATCGCCGATGTAGTTGTTCTTGGTTTTCTTCCTCGAATATTTTTACGTTGTTTTGGTCGAGCAGGTAAGGGACCGTGCTAGAGGTGGAACCCATCAGTCGCTTGATCCCTTTCCAGAATGCAGCAGAATCGCGGTAATTGTTGGCTGCCTCCCACACCAAGGCGGCCCACTTTTGTTCATGTAGACGTTTGCTCTCGTGCTGGATGTCCGTCTGTAGCTCTCGGTACCGGTCTCTCAGCTCCTGCGTCCACCCGCGGATACTGGCTAGCTGTCTCACGTGAGTGTACTGGACACTGAGCTGCCTCAGCTGGTGACTAGTGTGAGGATGGGGAATGGTCCTGTAACTGGTGGTCGGGATGTTGTTGTCCATCTCCGTCTTCACATCCTTATACCATTGTTCGACCGCGTCGTCGATGTCATTAGGGCTGGCTTCTTCCAGGTTTCTCCCCTGCTTGAGACTGAGAGACTCCTTGAAAGAGTCCCAGTCTGCCCGTTTGAGGTTTGACCTGATGTTGGCGGGTATCATAATGGGATTGGATGAGAGCGTCACGACGACTGGCAGGTGATCGCTGGTACTGATGGGTCCGGCGGTAACGTGCCTGTTCAGGACGGCCTCGTTGTTAGAGAGGATTATGTCGGGTGTTGTGGCACTGGCACGTCTGATCAATGTCGGGAAATCTGGCCCGAGGTGTTGCAGTTTTCCCCTTCTGATGTTGTCATACAGCGCCACACCGACGTTGTTCTCATTACCGTGTCCTAGTATGGCGTGGCGCGCATTTAAGTCCCCTATGATGTATGTTGGTTTTCTGTGGCGTAGCAACTGGTTTAGGTCTTGTTCGGGTAAGTAAGGACGTCTGGGAGGTAGGTACATCGTGCATATGATAACAGATCCCCTAGTTGTCTCCACCTGCACTCCTAGAACTGAATCCTCGAAGTCTGGCAACACTCTGTGACTCAGACGTGACCTGACGGCCACAGCGACACCATCGTTCAGCTCACCCGTCATGTTCCTCTGGTATACAGTGTAGCCAAAAATTTTCAGCTTACTTTCGTCCTTTATGCCCGTACTGTTTAACAGAATGATGTCTGGGTCTAATTGATAGTATAAGTTAGACAGTTCATTACGTCTATTAAGGGACCAGTGTAGGACATTATGTTGGACAATTTTCATCCTGCTAACGACTGCCATTTCGGAGACTGTAGCTTGGGGCGTCGCTTGGAGTGTTTGCTCGGCTTCTGCCATTTCTAGGGGGACGGAACTTCTTAGCAGAGCCTTCGGACATCTGCTTGTCAGTCAATGGCGGGCCCTCGAACCTCTCGTCACCCTTGTACAGGAAGGTGTTCAGGTCCTGGGCCTGCGTGTCGTAGTAATCAACTGACGCTGCAGCTCGAGGGTCTTGTTCCTCTGTGGGTTGAGTCGTCATCATCTGGTCGCAACCATTGACTGTGGTTGCAGTCCGATGGTCCTCTAGAGTCAGGTCGAGGCCCAAATCAGGGTCACGGAGTGTCCTCAGTAGGGTCGCGAGGGGCCCTCAGACAATTTTACAAATATAGTACTTATCATAAATTCATAAATAAATGTTTGCTTAACATTCAAGCTATATAATAATATGCTATATGCCCGAGGATCAGGACACCGTATTGTTGGGAAATTTAGGGTCGCAACCAAAAAAGGTTGGGTGAGAACCACTGCTGAACGAACATAACCTGCGGACTTGTGTCTTTGTATCCGAAACATTGAGTTCATGTTATGTTATGTTATGTTGTGTTGTGTTATGTTATGTTATGTGTGTGTGTGTGTGTGTGTGTGTGTGTATGTGTGTGTGTGTGTGTGTGTGTGTAGCTACAGATACTGACAGTGGCTCGAATGAGTATCTGCTGGCTACAGGCAGCCGTGAGGTCAAGTTAGTTCAGTATCATTGTAATGAAATTTGAAGGATAAAAAAAACTCTTAGACGAGGAGAAGACTGATCTTAAATTCATATTTTAAATAGAGACCGACATGAAAGTGGGAACTACCGAGGCTCGAGTCTGTTGAGTCATGGTAACTAGGTATTGTAAACTATATATAGCT